TGAAATAATAGAAGCAGAATATTGTGATTAGCATTCCTAATCTGTAGCCGTGGGAAGGCATTCTGCACCATTATTGTTCCCCCTCACTGATGATCATTTTCTTCAACCTTGGGAGTCCCTTTCCCGATTCATATTTTGTAGGTTTATCAGTATTATTATTATTATTATTTGGCCCTATTATTATCATTATTATTATTAGCCCCTATTATTATCATCATCATTATTATTATTATCATTATTATTTTTATTATTATTATTAGGCCCTATTACTATTATCATTATTAGGACCTATCATTATTATTATTATCAAGCGCACGTACGTGCATTAGTTATACTCTAACAAGAGATAAGTATTACTATTCCCAGACAAGTGTTTAGAGCTCTTAGAGAAAGCACAACTTATGATAAGGCTTTGTTCAGAGAGATTCCACTAAAATCAGACGTCTATAATATAACACAGACATAGTACTAACGTAGCAGAGAGAGAGAGGGAGGGGGGGAGAGGGAGAGAAAATGCAGGTCACATATTACATATTTTAAGGGATATGTACTCTTTGCTGCACCCCCCCCCCCCTCTCCCAGGCTTTACCACTGTAAGAAAAGGAAAGGAGGAGGAGAGGGAGAAGAACAAGAAGAAAAAGGAAAAAGCAGTAGCGGAATACGACGACAACGAAAAAAAAAAAGAGAGAAAGAAGGACAGGAAGAAAAAGATAAACAGTCTGCGTGACGTAAGCAGAGGATTCAAGGAGAGAAATCGTCAAGTTTTCCGGTCCATTTGAAGGCTTTCCTGTCATGCACTTGGGGATAACTGGCACACCATGACCCTGTTTCAACCTACACTAACCCTTCTTCCTGTTTCGATAATTCTTCTTTCATCTATTCAGATAATTCTGTTTTATTCTCTGCTCCCAGCCTTTTAAACATCCGTTGTTGGACATAGGCCTACTCCAGACTTCTTCCACGTCGCTCCGTCTCCAGCCTTCCGGTATCAATGCTTTGAAACTCGCTGACTCAACAGGAACGGCCTTAATGTTGTTGAGAACGTATCATGATCCACGATGGGGAGAGGGTGGGCCATACCCTACCACGCTGACCCAGTGCGGTTTGATAATACTTCACGGTAAATGTTCATGGAGCGGATCAACCTTCAACACATACAAGTCCCAAATTTGCATGTTAGATATCGATGGGGTATAAGTGACCAGCTGAGCATTATTGTTTCCTCTTCTCATTATAATCATTATGATTATCGTTACTATCAAAAACAATTTTGTCATCAATATCATTATTATTAATATTGCTATCTCTATTGTTATTATCATTATTTTTTTTATCATTATCATTATTATTATCTTCATTGTTAGTGTTATCATTGTTACTCTTATTGTTATAATAATCATTGTTATTGTTGATATTATCCTTATTATTATTGGTATTATAATTGATATTATCATTATTATTATTATTATTGTTATTATCATTATTATTATTGTTATTATTATAATTGTCATTATTATCATTGTCATTATTATTATCACTATTGTTATCATTATTTTTGTTATTGCTATTATTGATATCATCATCCTTATTGTTACCATTGTTACTATTGTTGTTGCTGATGTTATTCCTGTTATTATTATTACTATTACTATTATTATTGTTATTATTATTATCATTACTATTATTGTTATTATTATCATTATCATTATTATTATAATTGTTATTATTATCATTATCGTTATTTTTAATGTTATCATTATTATTGTTAATGCTATCATTATTATTGTTAATTTATCATTATTATTGTTAATGTTATTTATCATTATTATTGTTACTGTTATTATTATCATCATTATTAAAATGATTGTGATTATTATTATTATTATTATCATTATTATTATTATTTATTATATTATTATTATATTATTATTATTATTATTATTATCATTACTATTATTATTGCTATTAATGTTATCATTGTTGTAATTGTTAATGTTATTATTGTTATTATCATGGTTATTATTGTTATCATAATTGTTATTATTATTATTTTTGTTGTTATTTTGTCATTACTATTATTATTGTTGTTATTATTGTGATTATCACTCATTATTATTGTTATTATTATTGTAACTGTTATTGCAATTATTATTGTTATAACTACTTTTATTATCATTGCTATTATTATCCTTATTATTACTGTTATTGCTATTTTCATTATTATTATTATTATCATAATCATTTTTTATTATTGTTATCAATGCTATTATTATCATTAATATTATTGTCGTCATTATCATTATTATTGTTATTGTTGCTTTTATTGTTATCAATGTTATATTTTTTTATCATGATTATTGTTATTGCTGTTATTATCGTTACAATTATCATTATTGGCATTATTATTATTGTTCTTGGTATTGTTATTATTGTTATAATTATCTTTATTACTATAACTGTTATCATATATATCATCTTCCTCAGTACTCTTATTATTATCATTAGTTATTATATTTATTATTAATATCATTATTATAATTATTGTTGTTACTATTATCACTATTACCATTATTGCTACTACTATCGTCATCATTGTTACTGTAATTATAGTTATCATTATCATTATTATTGTTATCATTTTCATTGTTGCTATTTATTGTTATTATTATTGTTGTTTCTACTGTTATCATTAATGAGATTATTATCATTAATGAGATTATTATCATTAATGATATTATTATCATTATTGTTATTATCAATATTATTGTTATTGTTGTTATTATTATTATTGTTATTAGTTTTATTAATGTTGTTATTATTATTGGTATTATCATTATTATTGTTATCATCAGCATTAGTATCGTTTTAAATCTAATTAGTATTAACATTATTTTTACTATCATTATTATCATTATTCATAATCCTTATTTTTGTTATTTGCTGCTGCTGATGGTGATGCTGTTTATTACCATTGTTATTATTATCATTGCCATTATTACTTCCATTACCATTATCATCACTATTATGGTCATTATCATTATCATCATCATTATTACCATTATGGTTTATATATTTTATTATTTTTTATTATCATTATTATTATTTATATTATTATTATTGTTATTAATTTTTTAATATATAATATTATTTATCATTATATATTATTATTATATATATTTATTTTATGTATATATATATTTATATATATTATTATATATATATGTGTGTGTATGTGTGTGTGTGTGTGTGTGTGTATGTGTGTGTGTGTGTGTGTGTGTGTGTGTGTGTGTGTGTGTGTGTGTGTGTGTGTGTGTGTGCGTCTGTCTATATGTGGATATATGTGTATACATATATGAAAATGAGAATGATAACGATAACAGGAATAATGATAATAAAAGAATATTGATAATGATGATACTAATGAAAATAAAAATAAATGATAATGGTGACAATAATGATAACAATTATAATACATATATCTATGTGTGTCTGTGTATGTATGTATATATAAACACACACACACACACACACATATATATATATATATATATATATATATATATATATATATATATATATATATATATATACATGTGTGTGTATGTGTGTGTGTGTGCGCGCGCGCACATTGTACATATTGTGTGGTTTCCCTCTATCTTCGTTTCTGTTAATAGGACCACTTCTCACTATCCCATATTTTCTTATCCTTAATGTTCCGTTGTACCTTTATTCTATGCATTCATATAACACATTTGTCTTTCTTTATCATTCATCTTTTTCTCTCTCTACTATATCTTCTTAACTACACTTATAAGCAAGTAAGCAAGAGCTTTCAACAACGGCAACTCTATTTCTCTAGCTTTCAAACATTCTGTTAAATATTCACAGAATACATAACGAACGTTTCAAAGCACAACGATTTTTTTCATCCGCGCTTCGATCGTTTCTTTTCCTTCCTTTCTCAGGAGAAACGGAATACCCGAATTAATTTTTCCCCAAAGAGGTCACTATGAACAGCTGCAAACGGAGGGTAATAATCTAATCGTACTATAAAAACGAAAATGATAACATCCCAAGGGCTTTGTTGAAATTATGATAACGAAAAGAAAAGTTGCATTTTGTCTGATAATAAGGACAACTGTGTCATTAAGACTATAATGCATGTATAGTAGAATTGTTCAAAATCCAGTTATTGCCTTCTGTTTCAATATAAAAATATGTGACAACAGTTCTGAATTGCTACCGCATCTACAAATGCAATAAATACAATATTGAAGTGAAATGATGTCGCGAGCAAGAGGCAAAGTTTTTTTGTGTGTGAATCTCCATAAGAATGCTAGATATTTATTCGTATATGTAAACAGAAATAATAAATTCACATACATGCATGTGTATATATATATAAACATGTGTTTTATGTATCATATTATGTAATGATTCTAACGTTTCCCCGTAGCGCCTGATAAACAATACAAAATAAATCGCTAGCTATTTAGTTATCAGTAAGTGCGTATTTGTCCTCCTTAGTAACTGCATTCACATAGATAAACACTTAAATTCTAATATATTTACTTATCAAACGGGTCTTTTGGTGCATTTCAGGACTAGAGATTCTTCTTGTTCCACAGTGGCCTAAATGCAGAGTCCGTTTTGAGTCAATTTTACGCTTGTGCTTGGAGATCACATCAAGTGGATTGCCGTGGGATGTGGCGGCCCTCGCCCTGACAGGTGCATTATAAAGAGGCCTCAATCAAGGAACAAGAACTGTTTGTAAACATGTGAGTGTTCACTAGTTTTTATTTTTCGTCCTTCGAAAACTTTTCATTCTTATTGTATCTATTGATATATTTCCACTGTCCTGTAGAACCTCTTCAGTACGGCTTGCGTGAGAACCTGCGTCTGGTTGCAAGAACTCTCTGATAGTGCCGCCCATCATTGCCGGGAAGAGTGCCTTGATAAGAGCCCCCTCCTGGTGTCGACATGCACCGGTAAGTCCTGTCGCGTCGCCAGCCACAGACGGTGAGCTACAGCAGGTAGTCCTCCGGAAGCAGCTCTTGAATCAGGAGTGAAAGAGGGTTATACGTCGTGTTCCTTTATCCGGTCACTGAACTCGCACACACCTGCTTGGGTGCCTTCTACGCAATGCCACCCCCGCCACCACGCCCCCCATCCTACCTCCAACCCGGCCTTCTCTCGGCGGGGTCCACGATGTAAGGAGCCAGAAACCCCGATTATTTTTAGTCAGTCGGCAGCCCGCACCCAGGCAAGAGCTGCGCCACTACAACCTGTGAGAGTCGGTGACACGATTCGATCCCAGAAGGAAATGTTATGATGTAAACCGAAGTGAGAGCAAGGGGGTCACGACACACTTCCGATGCAGAGTGAAGGTGACGCAACTTCATCTCGCGAGGGCAGCAAGGTCGCCCGTGTAATTCGATGTTACTGAACGACGGATTTTCCCCCGACCGCGTAAAACGTTAGGCGCGGGAATTACAGGATCGTTTCAGTTCTTGTAATTCGACTCATTGGAAAGCAATAAAAGCCCTTGGTATCGTCTCCTAATCGACCGTGACCGCAGAAGGAAACTAGCTTCTGAAGAAGGCGCACCGCCCGAGCTCCTCCCAGCACCCAGTGATCATTTTCAACCGAGAAAGCCGTGAAAGCCGTTTCTTTTAAATCCAACGAGAAATTTAATCAACTGAAGGTGAGTGCAGCATATCGAAGACAACGTGGCAGTCAGCATTACTCCCTACCCCGCCTGATGATGGCATGCTGCCCTGACCTATTTCACTGCCCTGAGATACTCCGTTCTGACCCCTTGCCTTGTGTTGAATGGATGCAGTATTTCAGAATGAGCAGATCCTTTCGGAAACGAATCTCTGTTTACGCGCTCTTGTGTATCCATTTTGTCTTTCTAAAAAAAAAAAAAAAAAAAGCCCTGTGCTTATCGAACCAGTATTTCTTATACAAAAACCATCAACATAACAAGCATTCTTTCCTTGTCGTGGACCCTTATCGCAAAAAAAATAATAATAATAATAAAAAATAAATAAATAAGTAAGATAAAATAGAATAAAATAAAAAATAAAAAATACCGCGCCATGACATCACAATCACGAGCCACGAACGTAACAGGTAGTTTTCGGGCTGACATAGTTTACGACCCCGAGCTGAAAACCCCAGCGCTATATTTACCCTTTAGTTTTTGACGCGTTATTTGGCGGGAATTTACCGCAAATTTTCAAGCAGTTATTCCTATTTTCCTCCATGTCTTGTATTATTTTTTTCTAATTTCTATATATCTCATTTCTTTTTCATACGTTGTTTATTCTTATTTATTTTCTTACTTAATTCCTTAAGATGTACGCCTGGCATAATAAAAACAAACTTCACACCCACACACACGCCCACCTCATATTCTCAGAGAAGGAAATCCTCATATCTCAAATATGTAGATCTACGGCTCTATATCAGAATCCTTCCGGTTGATAAGATAATCGTATCTTTATCCTCTGCTTTGCCGCTCTTCCTCCGTGAACTCTATCGACCGTTCTTGCCCCTGACGTGAGCCGAGGGAAATAAATCGATCGGTGTAGATTAATTTTAACTCTAATGGCTATCGTCAGCGGACTCGCTTGTGCGTTTCAATGGCGCGTATTTTTTTTTTTTTTTTTTTTTTTTTATCTCTGATTATTTTTCCTCTGTTCAGTTGCTGTTTTTGTTTTGTTTTGTTTTTTGTTCGCTGTTCTCTTGTTCTATTTTTTTCGTTTTTGTCTCTCCATTTTTCCCTTTTTCCCTTGATTAGTTGTTTCTATCTCTCTGTCTAGCTATCTTTCTATCTCTCTATCTATCATTATTTATCGATCTATCTACTTATCTGCATCTCTCTTTCTCTCTTTCGCTCTCTCTGGTTTTACAGCTATCTCCCTCCCTCCCCTCCTCGCTCTCTGTACATCTCGCTTCTTCTCTCGTTATATCTCTGCACAGCTCTCTCTCTCTCCTCTCTCTTCCTCTCATATCTCTCTCTCTCTCTCTCTCTCTCTCTCTCTCTCTCTCTCTCTCTCTCTCTCTCTCTCTCTCTCTCTCTCTCTCTCTCTCTCTCTCTCTCATTCTCTCTCTTCTCATTCTCTCTCTCCTCTCTTCTCTCTCTCTCTCTTCTCTCTCTTCCTCTCTCTTCCCTCTCTCATTCTCTCTCCCTCTCTCTCTCCTCCTCCTCTCTCTCTCTCTCTCTCTCTCTCTCTCTCTCTCTCTTCTCTCTCTCTCTCTCTCTCTCTCTCTCTCTCTCTCTCTCTCTCTCTCTCTCTCTCTCTCTCTCTCTCTCCCTCTCTCTCTCTCTCTCTCTCTCTCCCTCTCTCCCTCTCTCTCTCTCTCTCTCTCTCTCTCTCTCTCTCTCTCTCTCCTCTCCTCTCTCTCTCTCTCTCTCTCTCTCTCTATTCTATCTATCTATCTATCTATCTCTATCTCTATCTCTATCTCTATCTCTATCTCTATCTCTCTCTATCTATCTCTCTCTTCTCTCTCTCTTCCTCTCTCTCTTCCTCTCTCTCTTCCTCTCTCTCGTTCTCTCTCTCTCCCTCTCTCATCTTCTCTCCCTCTCTCTCTCATTTTCTCTACCTCCCTCTCACTCTCCTCCCTTCTTATCTCCCTCACACACTTTCTCTCCCACTTCCTCTCTCTTCTCCTGCATTTGTTCTTACCATCTTACCTCGTACAATTACCAGTCTCAAACAGACCAACACTATAACCATCAATATCTTTAAAATCGCATTTTTCACGCAACATCGAACTTTCTTGAACAAAATGATGAAATTTGAACAAGTGCCAGAACCGCTTACTCTGCGCCCTGTATTGTTTACCATTAAGCATCTTTTGGGAACTTTCCATTACGCACAGGGAAAATTTCCGAAATACTGTTGTTTTTCGGTGGCGTTTAAGGCGTTAGGTTCATGAAATTTCATATACCGGCAGATGGCGTTTGTGTGACTTCGTGGTTTATGTAAAGGGGTTTCTGATGTTTAGATTGAAGTTTTATTCGTTCGTGTAGATGTTTTATTATGTAATTGCTTTTTGGAGTGACTGAGAGTAAATTACAAGGTTTCTCATGTTTTTCGTTGTTTGTTTCTGTTTTATGAAAAAAATGGGGCAATGCTTTAGGAAATATTAGATATTGTGTTTTTTTTCTGTAAATGCGCAAGATTTATATTCATGGTCTAAATGAAGTATGTTTGTGTGTTGTGCTGTGCTGTGTGTGTGTGTGTGTGTATGTGTGCGTGTATGTGCGTGTTTGATTTTCCTTATGTTAATGTTTTATTCCAATGTACATACCATTCCAGTGTACATACCATCACCATGCGTGCGTTACTTTGTCGTTCTTTTAGTCAATATATGGTATTGGTAAATTCCATAGAAAAAGTATAAGCCTACCTTTGGAACTCCTGGAATTCTACATTCAATAATTAATACGTGTTTCCAGGTTGTCACCTTTTCCTGTAAGAAAAATGACATCAGGAGATAACAGCAAGATAATTTAGATTAATTATTTCGAGGTGAAATTTAGATTACAGGACGAGCCATTATGTATTTTTCACTGGCTCTTTTTTCATTATTCTTTGTTGTTATTATTTGTTTTATCAGTCTGTAATATAAATGATAATTCCTTGAGTGCCTGTCGCTTCATAAAAAAATATCCCTTTTCATTTCAACACATTCATTCTCGGATAACTTATACTGCAAAGAGACGTGATTCCATAACCCAAGGATCAGTATGTTTTCCTATATTGGTTGAAGGTGCTGGACATTCCTTCTACCGTTGGCCACGATAGGCTTGGCATTCATAGTTAAGGCTCTCCCCCCCCCCCCCCCCCGTCTCTTTCGCTCTCGTCCACCCCCCCCCGCCCTTGCCGCAAACACACCTATACAGGCACATCTACTCACAGACGCGTGCGCGCGCACACACACACACACATACGCACACACAGGTACAAATACAATTACACACTCACTCTCTCACACACATGCACACAAACACACACACTAAAATAGAATATTAAAAAAGAATTGCAACTTGAATACAAACATAGCTTAATCATAAAAACAAATAAGTATTTCGATCAAATTCCTGACATTCAATTTATCCCAAAGGCTTGCAAATATCGGCATCAACGACAAGGACGATCTCACTGTCGATAGATAAAAGGCGTGTAGTTCAAGGTGTCGACTGGTGGTTGCAAGTGTCCGGCTATGGCTTAATGTCTGTCTGCCTGTCTAAGGTCGAGGACGTGTCATTTTGCGTGTGGCAGCTCCCCCTCGAGGCTAAGGGCTGTTTGAAGGGTGAGATTCGAGCGGCAGTAGCTTCGAACGTAGCCTTTGTTTGGTCGGGGAGAGATGTGTGAAAGGCCGCTGTTTGGTCTTGGTGGCTGTTGAGGATAAAAGGCGCATATATTCTTGACTTAGAAATGAGGGATGTCAGGGAGTCTGTATAGAAATTATGCATAAGCATGGTTATGCCCACCGGAGGTACCAGACTTTTACACACACACACACATGTGTGTGTGTGTAAAAGTCTGGTACCTCCGGTGGGCATAACCATGCTTGTGCATAATTTCTATACAGACTCTCTGACATCTGTCTCTTGGTCATGACATCCCTCATTTCCAAGTCAAGAATATATGCGCCTTTTATCCTTATATGTGTGTGTGTATGTATACATATATATGCATGTTTATTTATTTATCTATTTATGTATATACATATATAAATAAATATATATATAGAGAGAGAGAGATTGATAGATAGATATAGATACAGATATGAACAGTGCAGGGCTGCTTATTATAATCACATATTATTCCAGCCGGCCTTTGTTCTCCAGTTTTACCAGACCCGCATTCACACTGTTGCCTAAATCATTCACACATTTCTGCATCTCCTGCACTGCTCTGCCAAGCGGCGTAACACACCAAAGGGGGAACGGCCGCCCTTCACCGCTCCCTCTGGGCTCGCCGCAGATACCAGTAATACGCTATATTTAGTGACATTTACACGCCACATGTAGAAGTATCCTCCAAGCACTATATCACATTAAGTTATTTGTTCAGAGTGGATATAGCTTATATGATTTTTCTCTTATTTTGTTCCTGAATCAGACTTTTTGTTTTTGATCATCTTTGTATATTTTTTTCCTTCTTTCACTCTTTCTTTCACTGACGAAACATTTTTTTGGAACGCGCTTGAATGTTTAAGGCGAGACATTTGTCTCATCATAAAACCATATGCTTGAAATAACTGAGTTTACTCGGACAGACTTTGACATTATTTTGTAAAAGAGAAGACGAAAATCGTGCTATCTTAAACACTGTGAAACCCGACATCTGAACTATGTATTGCTTTTACACTTTCATTTTCTTTTAAATACGGTTATGGCAAGTGTCGTGCAGTTAGGTATTCTTCCTTCAATTACTTGAACCCAAGAATGAAATACTGTTAAGTGCTATGAAGTAGAACCAGAACGCGGGGTTTGGACAAATGGAAAGGGTACAAGTGCATATGTGTTCGTTAGCTAACTAGAAAAACACAATAAAAATATATTTTTTACTTCTCACAATTCTCTTCTACAGGAAGAAATTGCGCCCCGAATCTACTTCTTAACAAACATTTAACAGAAAGCTTCACAAAAATTACATGCTTTCTTATTCCCGATGACTAAGGAATGCTGTGACAGCAACTGAAGCCTCTTGCCACAAGAAACACCTGCAACAGGAAAATGAAAGAAATATTTTTAACAAACTATTTCAAGCACTTTGTAAAACTTCTACAAGAAGCAAAATCCGCGCCTCCACTAGTATGGCCTCGACTAGCCACACCCTCTTCTCTCTTCGAGCTCGCACATTCATGTCGCCCTGGCCCTTCTCCTTCTGCGTCTCTTCCTCCTCCTCTTCCGACTGCTTCTCCTCCTCCTCCTCCTCCTCCCAATCCACCCATCCTTATCTCCTCCTCACCGCTCTCTCACATCTCCCATAGAACCATGACAGGAGAAGCGACAACGTCCCTCAGCCCAACCGCCCGCGTGGGTCCTGCCAAGGCGTCCCTGCTGCCGCTGCTGGACGACGCCTTCGCGCAGCTCAAAGTGCCGTCCTTCATCCACGTGAACCTGGACGCCGTGGCCCACAACGTCGATGTTCTCAAGGGCCTTTCTTCAGCTCATACAGGTAGGTCAGGGATTTGGAGAGGGCCACCAAGATTGATGGGAGGTTATATAGCGAACTATTTATGAGAATTACTAAGCTATGAACTAAATATATTTCTAGATGTAAACAAGGTCTAGATCTTGAATGTAAGTAAAGCTGCAGTCGGAAGTGATGATATAGATATGCTACCAAACAGATGGCCCACTACGAGAGATGCCACACTTTTCCTTGAAGTGCACATTGTAAAATTGATTGTTTTCCTTCCCTATAGAGATTATGGGTGTTGTGAAGGGCGGTGCTTACGGCTCGGGTCTCCTGCCGGTGGTGGAAGTCCTCCTGGAGAAGGGCGTGAAGGAATTGTCGGTTGCCACAGTGGCCGAGGGGGTCTACTTGCGCAGGCATGGGATACAGGTCCCTATTACTGTCCTAGGTGAGTCTACTTAGCGCTGTTGAATTGGAATATTATTTTGTACTTCGCCAGGGAGATAGATAAATAGAACACATGATTATTTTTTTTATCATGCATTGTAGATTCTAGCCTACAAATTTTAGTTTTACCCAAGTACTGAGTACAGCCACTTAGACTCTTATCTAAATTGATGTGTATTTAATAATATCAATAAAAATAATCTTAAATCACAAAATGTTCTGCTAAATTGGCCAGATCAATTTTATTCATGACCTTTTGAGATCTTTTACACCATTAAAAAAAAATTCTCAGCTTCTTTCGTTTTCCCTCTTCCTCCTCTATTTTCTTTAACTCCTCATCAATCTTGCAGGCAACCTACTGCCATGTGAAGTGAGCGACGTGACGCAGCATCATCTCATTCCGTCCCTCAGCTGGTCTCAAGCCCTGACCTCAGTACCCCGTGAGGCCTTAGTGTATCCAGTGAGTAAAAAAAAATATTTTTAGTCATATGATTTGATGGGAAAATAACGTGTAACTACGGAATAAATAACTTAATATATGAACAGGTACAGTCGGTAAATAATTGTTAAATGATATGTTAGTGGTTAATTACCGATAAGAAATAGACTATTGGCGTCGATACTAAATTAATAACATATTGACATTTGTTAACCTGAATTCCTAAATAACTAGATCCAGGACTGCAGTAATTCATTATCCAAAAGTCTACGAGATAACCAAAATCAATAACTATAACACATTTACCAAATTGGTTCTCATATTTGAATCACCACAACAATCCGTGAAATTCTAATATCAAAAACCAAAACAAAACCAAAAATAACATTCACCAATAAAACCACATTCCTTGATCCACACACACACACACACCACACACACACAACACACACACACACACACACACACACACACACACACACACACACACACACACACCACTCACTCACTCACTCACTCACTCACTCACTCACTCACTCACTCACTCACTCACTCACTCACTCACTCACTCACTCACTCACTCACGCACGCACGCACGCAAAAAATACATAAAAATAAATAAAAAAAAAAAATGATAAATAAAAAAAATAATTAATTAAATAGAATAGATAAATAACACCACCTTTCCTCAGGACGGCTCGAGACTCAAAGTGGCCATCAACATCGACACGGGAATGTCTCGCTACGGCGTCCAACCCGAAGACCTTCCCGCGCTGGTGCAAGAGCTGGACGACCTCGAAGTCAGCATCTACTCCCTGTACACGCACTTCCAGTCCGCCATCACGGAGAGGGAGAAGAACCGCAAACAGCTCGATCTCTTTCTCGAAGCTTCGGAACCTTTCACGTGAGGGCAACGGCTTTTCTTCTGTCTTATTGAGAGGGCTTTGTTATCATGATTGTTTCTGTATTTTTATCATTTTTATTTATCCTATTATTATCATTATCATTATCACAATCATAGAACAAACTGTAACAGGTAGTAAATTTTTAAAAATGTATGATTCATGAATGTAGATGCTATTCACCATTAGAAAAAAAAGTTAAACAAAAAACAGCAAAGGTTTCCAAAATATTTCAGGCCTATGTATTAGATCAGACTTATCTGAAAACAATATCGGCAGAGCAAGGAGACAGATTCAACAACAAAAGTCCTTTAATTACACTGAATGGATATTACGGAATTTTCTACTTACATATTGTATAGTCTGCTTTGAACCCAATATACATATTCTAACACCAGGTCCCGTGGTATTAGTCGACATGTGGCAGCTACAACAGGATGTGTGCAAGACCTTGGGACTGACTTGGACTTCATAAGACCCGGCGGGGCTATCACAGGCTTATGTTCAGGTTAGTGTAGACATTTTAAGGCATGCTTGTTGGACTAATTGCCTCCTGGGAGACATTTATAATGAGTACTCCGCATGCTGGCCAGATAACGTAGCTAGTGTAAAGGTAAAAACCTTTTTTTAATTGTTTAAAGCACAATACGAATTCACTTAAAAACAATGAAGAAACAAAAAAAATCGTATAATCGGTATTCGTAATAGACAAAACTCTATTTAAATAATGTACAACATAGATATGTTTGGGGCTGCAAGTGAGCCTCGGGTCGCATGTGGGAGCCCACATTAGATACGTTTGATGCCGCTGTTTTAATAGTTGTAATAAATTTCTTGGTGTTGAAGGGAGGCTCATTCGCTTCTTTTCTGTCTTTTTCATTAACTCTTTCTCTCATCCCCTGTTGTATGCGTTTCTCAGTACTGAATTGAATCCATCCATAAACACGTGACCGGTAAAAGTTCATTTTCCTCCCAGGCAGCGACCGAGAAGGAACGGAGCAGTTCGCAATGAAAGGCTTCCAACCTGCGTTCTCCGTGGTTGCTAGGCCTACCTTCTACAAGCTCCTGAAGGCGGGACGAGACATCGGCTACGACGGAACATACACCACTTCCGAAGACGAGTGGATCGCCAACTTCACCACAGGATGGTCAGATGGTCTCAGTCGACGTCTTAGCAATTTCGTCGGTGCGGTCAAGAGAGTTAACACAGGTTTGTGAAACACCTAAAAGACATAACTAGATTTTGTCTTTAGTCTTTATTATTTGCATTCGCGTTGTGCTTTGTCAGTGAGTAATACAAGTCCTTTTTAATAAGTAATACAAGTCAATAAGTAATATATGTCCCGTATTCATGCTAATACGAGACTCCTTTCTACACATCAACAGGTGAACGGTGCCCCATCGTGGGTCGAGTGTCCATGGACTCCATCACCGTCCGCCTCCCTGAAGAGCCATCCCCCGGCGAGGTGTTCCAAGTCCTCACCGATGACTTCGACGACGTGACTTCGGCGGTGGGCATGGCGAGGAACCTCGGCGGCGCCACCTACGAGATGCCCGGAAACTGGTCCACTCGGCTGCCTCGCCTCTACACTCGCAACGGGAAGATCGTCAGGATTTGCCCGAGCCTTGAGTACACGTGCTGAGGGATTTCCGGGAGAAGGAGGCCTCTTCTGTATAGCGGGGATGGCGATTGATAGCGATGGTTGTGAACCGATGGCAGCATGTTGGTCAGTCATGTGTGTGTGTGTGTGGGGGGGGTCAGAAAGAATATGATTATCCATCATCAGAGTTGTCGTAGGCAGACAACAAAACGATAAAGGGTAATTTTAGAGGTCACTGTAAGCCTCATAGGCTGGTTGGTACAGTAAAAATGCAAATTTATGCAAATATATATATATATATATATATATATATATATATATATATATATATATATATATATATATATATATATATATATATATATATAGTCTTTTTTTTAGAAAAGTCGGGTGAGTCACGGCCCCAACCCCCACGTATTAATGCGTAGTAGTCGATATCAATGATATTAACACAACAGCACTTTTAATAGTAACATAAGGAAATGATCGGATGGTGCTGGTTATCACAGCATTCATTTTTCACTTTTCGTTATTTACTTCCTTTCCTCTTTTGATAGTTTTTCCTTCCCTTATAATATTCAAGATCCAAAATTCTTTGCACTTCACTTGCATTTATATCAAGTTCCATTTTCTGTAACAGAACTTTTACCACCACAACTCAGAAACGATATAAACATAGGATAGTCCCTCTTAGATAAATAGCATGAATTTAGTTTAATTAGTGAATGCGCCGAAATATGATCCAATGATGTACCAGACTGAAAAATTCGTTGTTTATTACTGAATATATTTTCTATACAAGATTGTTACTCCGTTACAAGATTTTCCGTAAATGTAATAAGAGTTACATTTGCAAAGCTATTGAAAATAAAAACGAGAATACACGAAAATAGGCCTACTCGATTACTGCTTGTCTGCGTCGAAAGGACAATGGTCACAAATCTTAATGTGCAATCTTCTAATCTCACCTCTCTCTCTCTCTCTCTCTCTCTCTCTCTCTCTCTCTCTCTCTCTCTCTCTCTCTCTCTCTCTCTCTCTCTCTCTCTCTCTCTCTCTCTCTCTCTCTCTCTCTTTTTCTATCTATATCTATCTCTACCTATATATCTATATCTATCTCTACCTATCTATCTATATCTATCTATCTATCTATCTATCTATCTATCTATCTATCTATCTATCTATCTATCTATCTATCTATCTATCTATCTATCTATCTATATATATATATACACATACAGAGAGAGCTTTTTTTTGATTTGGTAATCATTCCGCGAAACATCGAGAGCCTTTTGATGCGAGTCGTGGAATCGTGCAATTTTAGTCCTTTGTGTGGGATATAATGAAACAAAGTATGTGGTACACACACATATCCATCCATACATATATCTAAGAGCGCGTGTGTTTACATACATATCTGAGTGTACACATTTAGTATTTATATATGCCCGTGTGTAAGTATACGTGTTTTTTGTGCAGGTGTACAATGTTATGTACTTACATACCGTTTGGTTGCACATATCGATTTGTAAATATATATTTATTCACGAAAACGTGTGAACAATATAAATAAAAAAAATGAAGATGCCAATTGTATTTCACTTTACTCTTTATTATTCATTATTTTTACATATAGTTTAGTTCTCATATATCCTAGTTTTACTTTTGTTAGGAATATATGTATGAAAGAGCCAAAGAAAACTAGCAACTCAAGACTAATTTACTTACTAGCAGAAAAATCCCCTTTCCCATATTGAAAATTAGGCCTTCGGGGCAATATCCACCAGCGGGGAATGGCCAAAACCCATGGGAATATTTTATAAATAAACAAATAACAGACTACGACAGAGAGCACTGGCAGGGTGACAGATTTTCCGTAACAGCATTTCTGTCGTTCTTTAAACATCATATGATAAAGAAAACGGATATAAATAATAATATTGGACCATACACTATCATAAACGGATGCTTAGAATCAAAGGCTGGTGATAATAGGATTCCCTGCGTTACTTTCTTGTTTACTGCATTGCATAAAACAATATACAATAAATACATTACCAAGCCAGTAATGTAACATTCAACAACATAAAATGCACCCGTATCTCTTCATAGAAAATGTTTTCGATGTGTAACTTACGAAAATGCGACAATGAACCTGTAAACTTGATATTTCAAAAAAGTGTACGACTATTTATAGAGTATTGTAGGGCTGAAGGTTTAAAATCACTCCCCCTTGCTTGTTGGATGTATTGGCTATCGACCAATGGCATATGGCTATGGCTGACATAGCCAGTCAAGGTCTTTGAGCCAACAGATAATATTTATTGCTTCTATCTTAAATATTAAATATACAGCTTACTTTATGAACTCCCTTTTCATTTGATCAAAGATTTGAGAAAGTGAAAGTAACTTTTTAAAGAGTTTCCGTCTTTTCTTATTAAACTGATGTCATGTGGCTAAAGGATAATTTTTTATGCATGGATAAAGTTAATATTGTGGCGTTCAGCCTCAGACGGAGCAACTCCTACTGGGTGTATACCATCTTCTATGGTGTTTTGTTTATTTGCATGTTGGTCCACACAGTTTCCACAGTAGATGGAATTTCTGAATTTGCTGACATTTTGTAAAAACTGTTTAGGGTCATATTAAATAGATTGATCAGCGCCTTTCGAAAACTTTGCAGTGTTTGCCGCTCCCATCTCCCAAGGGCTGTGCAGTCATGCTTCCGCTGGGGCAGCCAGCAGCAATCCTGTATATAGACTTTGGCCAGCGGGGTGGGGAGGGCTGTGTCTACAATAAATCAATATATATGACCCAAAGTAGATATGACATTGTTTTACCCTCCTCTTAGAAAAAGAGTCTGTACTGCTCACTGACAAACTGGAGGATTGATGGGGCGCTAATCCTGTACACTTTCGAAAATGCTATGTGCCGTACTGGACGAGAAGGGACTGCTTAAAACCTTGGCCACGGTTCTTCTCACACTGCATGTGAGAATCTCGCTATGGTATATTGGAAGAAAGGTAGTTTTGGCGTGCACTGGTGTAGTTTTCTTAAATAATATTTTGATCTTTTATATAAAAGATGACTGAGAGCAAAAGAGTCCTTAATAGCAAGTTTTCCAATCACAGAATATCATATAATAGTTTTCGCATTCGTAACTACAAGAATCTACGGATACTACAAATGTGCTTGACGTCGACGAGCGAAAAGAAGCTAATGATACATACCAATTTACCAGGTACAGATTAACTACTCCCGAAGGTCGTTTTTGGAAGGCTATTACCTGGTTGATTTTATGGGTTTACCGGTAGTCTAAAAAGGCAATGGAAGGTAATTGAACCAGGTGTAAGAATAGAACCAGGCGTAAGAATAGAACCAGGCGTAAGTATAGAACCAGGTGTAGGAATAGAACCAGGTGTAAGAAGTTGCTCCGGAGAACACCTAGAGCACACGAACATCAGACATACACCATCGTCTATAAAATTACGCTGAATCTCGTCAACAAAAGCGTGTTAAAAGTTGGCATTTTGAGAGGGACTCTGGCAGTCGTGTACGGTAGTGCTAACGTGTTTGACTTCTGTTGATGTCAAGGTAAGAGTCACATGGTTCTATTTACTGAAATTCGTTAATAGGTTTGCAACAAGATGATTCACTGTGTATATGCACAGAAAGAAAATAGTGACTGATGTGAAAGGAGAGAAAAATAGCTATATGGGTCACTCCCACGACTCGTCTTGCAGTTAGTTGGAACTGTGCGAGGCCCGACCCAAGGATATGCACATATGCGGACATTCATTCACGCAGAAATAAGTTCATATCAATCTTTCTGAAATATATACATTTCTCTATCTGCCCGGTAGATATGCATGTTTAGAATTATGGATATGCATTTTTCTGTGTATATGCATGTCCGTATTATGAGTATTTATTAGGTCGGGCCTCGCACAATTTTAACAGACCGGTCGTATGTTGCCAAAGCTAGTCGTGAGGCAGACGACTGACTTGCTCTTTTAGAATAAGTGAGGATATCGCCAGTTGGTAAATTGTGTTGCGGTTCTGATGCAACTTTTGTATGTCAACTATCGCGCCAGCAACGTGCACAGATTTTCAAATGGACAGTCTCATTTGAGCCATGGGGAGACTCGGCTAGACAAATGATATTGATCATTAAGTACTTTGTATATTAAAAAATCGCCCCTAAATTGCAAGTATTATTCGTTCAATCCTTCAAGAACAATGATTAATAAAAAATAACAAAATAAAAACTGAAAATAAAAATATATACGAGATCATGCTATTGCATTATAAGTGTTTGAATAAAAGAGGACTGATGTTGAGAAAGCACGCAAGCACCTTCCCTGTGCGCGACTCTGCAAAGGACGGGGTCATCGTAGGGTTTTCTTGTGCGAAGACAAGACAGGGCCTGTATCAAGCATTCCGACACTGTAAGATCAAACGCAAAAAAGGTGAAAGTGAAATTGAATTATTTACATCGAGTGAAATTAAATACTCGAAATTATTCTTGCCAGTTAAAAATTTCTTGTCACGCCAAATTGTTTGTGTTAGGTAAGCAAAATCACACTTTGGATTTCCCTTCTTACTGTGGATGTTCTGTTTTTTGACAAACTTCGTGTCAAAAAGAGGTCGAGGCGTTTGTGCCGTCTTTCGATACTGATTGCTCTCTGCGACTTTAATTATTTCTAGTACTTGAAGGTATTCCATTTATATTCGAATGCTACCATTGTAATTTTTTTTATTCTTTCATTATATATATATATATATATATATATATATATATATATATATATATATATATATATATATATACATTTCGTTCTAATACCTTCCACTGGCCGAACTGAATTACATTTGTTGTCTTAGTTCTTAACTACGTTTTAAATAACCAGCTACGAATCCAGGGTTATAGGGCAATCCGTCCTCAGAGTGACAGACTGCGACCACCCCGAATGAAAATTATACAAGATATGCAGAAATACATGCAATTTCGGCAACAATGTATATACAATCAGGCTACAATTGGCAACAACCTACCGCATGACATTATATTTGAATACAATTTCCGGATTTTTTTATGCGTGTGTATATGTGCACCTTTTTCCATATTGAAACCATGGGAGACTGTATTTACAGTTAATACTGATGTCTGTTACAGAATTTATAACATTAAAAAGACAGTTTTCTCCCCAAAAAACTACCCCCTACCCAATGTCCTAGATCGACCACAGGTCAATGGTTAAAAAGCAAATAAATGTGCTAGACATCAAAGGTTATGTAGCACTATGGGAAGATATAGTGGCGAAAGGGTTAAGATAGGGGGGATGAGTTAAAGATTTAAAGATCTAAAGTAAACTGAAACTGAATATTCCAATCAACGTGTGATGAGGGTAAGAGTATTTAAAGTATTTTAAGTAACTTTTACCCTTTTATTGTTCAAATGTTTCTTAATCCTCTTGTACTTTTATTCTTTTACGTTTGATCTCATTTTCTTAGCCTTTGTTTTTAGTAGTTTTCATATATTCTTATTCGTTTAATCTCGTTTTCTTATTATTCTTTCTCGTTTTCTGTGCATTAATTCTTACTCGTTTTATCTAATTGTCTTTATTCTTACTTGTTTTATCTCCTTCCTGTGCTTGTATTTCTGGTTTTATCGCTTTCTGCGTTTTTATTTTTCTCTTCGCTTTTATTCATACTTGTTTAACTAATTTCTCCGCTTTTATTCTT